AATATTTATTGGCTCAACGGATCAACGTAAATGGGGATATCCCCTTCTTGTATGTATTCTCAAAATTAATCAGAAATTTCTCCCCTCTATACGGTCAAAAAAAAAGTTCATCTTGCGATACCCTCGTCAAGGGCATAATTAAGAAAAATCTCTGAGTCCCGCTGCAGAGCTTCTCAGTTGCAGAGTTGGTTCTGCTCCGATTCTGGTTGGATTCGGGGGCTCTGTTTGTGCAACCCTCACGGAAAATGAAATTTTCCTGCAAGACGCAGAAGAAGAAGACGAGACCGGCGACAGCGACTGCTGAGGGAGCCGCTGCATTGTTGATGAACAAGCAGCACGCTAACAAGTTGTATGCGCCATCTGAGGCCCTGCCTCATGCCACACACACACACACACACAAAAAAGGAGCGGAGTGCACCTTTCAGCGCTGGCGTTGGTACGTGGGCGCTTACATTGTTGTACATGCCACATGCCACCACCCACATCCAGCAACCGCTTAGAGATGGCTGGAAAATTATGATGCCTGCGTTTGTTTCTCGTTTGCGGCGCTCCGCTCCGCTCATTTTAATTTCCACTCGTTTTTTGTGCACCTTTTTTTGGCCTTCGAAAATTACAATAAAAAACAACAACCAAAGCCAGAGAGCCCGAGAATGGGTGAATGGGAGGAGCAGATTAAACAGTTAGAGAAAAATAGGAAAATTCAAGTGCATTTTTCACTTCACTTTACGGTGCATTCACATTTCCGTTGCATTGCATTGCGGAAAAGAGTTAAACAAAAGTGCGCAAAAAATGCACAAAAACCAACACAAAAAACCAAAAAACCAAAAAAAAAAAAAAAACAGAACACAGTTTGAGGGCATCAAAAACCGAAAACGGAGCTCCTGCGGATTTTCACAATTTGTCGTCTGGAGTGGGAGATGGGGCAGAGACAGCTTCAGGAGCGAGCAGGTATCCGTATCGTATCGTATCCCGTATCCCTTTGTTGAGGAACCCCAATACCACAGTCTCTACCAACCCTCGAGCCCTGCCTCTGCCTCGGCCTCTTCCTCTGCCTCCTCTTTTTTGAAGACCTTTAAGGTATTGCTCGGGCTATGCAATTTTTTGTCATTGTCATCGTTTTGTTGTTGCATGCAACTCAGGGAATGGCTGGTGGAGAGGTCAGTCGTCCCTTTCGCTGGCTGCTTTTAGGCGCTGGTTGCAAGAGTTGCACTTTTTGCGGCGGCTGCCACTCGTCGCCGTCGCTGCACTCGGCCCCGACGCCCCGCGCTGCCTGTTGTGTTAAATTTTTTATAAAATTTGCATGCAAAGTGCATTCTCCGCTTTTTTTTGCCTTATTTTTTGGCATTTTTTTTTTATTTTAATTTCTTAATTAGTTGCTTTTGTGGCCAGACCAGAAAAAAGGGAGCATGGGATGGAGGCTGGGAGGCTGGGAGGCTGGAATGGGGGCTTGAAAGCAAAAGTCAAGCCGCCTGCATTTAGGGGTTGCAAGGGTCGCTCCGGGGGTTGCGCTGCGTTCTGGGGGCTTTAAGTCCGAGCAGCTTTTCAAATTAGTCAAATTGAAATAGCATTAGGCTTTTGATCCGGGCAGATGTCCAGCCTCCCGCCTTCTGCTTCTGCAACCCCGCAATCAAAACCGAAAACTATTTAAAATCTAATTTGCATTTCGACTGGGGACTGGTGCAGGGGCCGGGACCGGGGGCAGCCAACAAACAAATGCATAGAATTTTCTTATCCTAAGCCTCTGAGGATGGGTGGGGGGTTGGGGCGAGGCCAGGAGCTGCATAATCACAAAAATTTGTCATAAAACTTTGGCAGACGCAAAAGTTTTGCGCTGCACAAAGTCAAAGTCGTTGACGTCGTCATCAAATTTCAATGCTATAGAGAAGAGAAATATAGGGGTGCCGAAAGGACTATCGGAGGGGGAATCCAAGGGGGAGGAGGGACCACCAGAATTAGTCGTGAATCAACAGCATGCCAATAGGCTATCATTCCCCAAAACCTTGCCTTTAAAGCGATTACAATTCCTGTATCAGAGCCAATGTGGTTGCAAGCTGCGGTCGCCTCCTCAAAGGGGGGAAAGGAGTGTGGAAAGTTTTTAATTACCCTCATCAGCGAAATGCAAGGCTCCACTCAAACCAGAGAAGCCAGAGAGATATAGGCAGGGGCTGAGAGTTTGCTTTGAGACAATTTTGTGCACAAAAAGTTTCATTGGGGTGCCACTGCTCCTGAGAATGAGACCCAAACTCCTCTGGAATCTATCTATGAACTTTGCTTGTTCTATGATAATTACATTTGAATAATATGCATTTCAGTCACATATACGATACGTAGACCGCAAAGTGCAACTAATTAATATTAATGACACTAATTTGCCTAAGAGAGTGAGGCACCTGGTGGAAGGGGAGGTGCACTTCCTGTTTGGAATAGCAGACAACCTTTGGGATACAACAGGATAGCTCGGGAGAGATAGAATCAGAGTTCCCAGGCATAAGCTCTGAAGGAGTGGCCAGAATTATGACTTAAATGCCACTAATCAGAGGCCTGCCATCAATCTGTGTCACTGGGCAAAAGGAAAGCGAAATGCCATCACCCCCATCAGAGCGAGCGATCCGTATCTCTCGGATGTGGTGTGAAAAGCGAAATTCTCAACACTTGTGCAAACAGAGGACTGGGCCTGGGCCTCTCAAATGAGTCGATCTTATCTGTAATTGCTTTCGCTCTGAAAGATGCTGCTGCCAGAAGAGAAGCCTTCGCTTTCTTGGACACTTTAAGGAAGTGACCCAAATTAGGCTTAGAAATGGAAAAGTTTTTGCATTAGCATGCGGCTTTCCACTTTGTCTTTAGTTTTTAGATTTTCCTCTGGCTCTCGGGGTGGGGCCTGGCTTGTGGGTTCGGTTCTCAGGGCAGGGGCTAAACTTCAAGAAATCGACATTTGCTTGAGCGTTTTTGTGCTGGGAGTCACGTAGCTGCAGCTGCCACGCTTCCAGGTACGAGTACGAGTACGAGTGCATATCTCGGTGCCATGCTGCAACACACAGCATATGCACACACCCGCACGAAGCGAGAAAGAGACAGATTCTCACATCTTATCTGTATCTGCAAACAGACGAGGACATCTCACACTCCACATCCCTATGTCCCACTCCTTCACACACACACACACACACACACAGGCACACGCACGAACGTCATTCCTCAGTCAACACAAACATGAGATGAAGTTGAATTTGTACATCCGCTTCTTCTACTGCTGCCGCTTCTTCTTATCCACTTCCCTTTCCTTTCTGTTCCTTTTTCTACCTCTACTCGTTTTGGCCTCAGGCTGAAAAATCAGTTTTCATACTCTTCTTGGAGGGTATTCCTGTTTTAACAGAAGGAAACATTTCCGAATTTCGAGCGAACATCACAAATCTATTCTTAAAGACCTTTGTATAACTAGGAACAGCCAGGACATGATTATTTAATCAATCTATCACAAGTTACACGTTCTTAGAGATACGATCCATAACTGAAAACGAGTATCTATATTCGATGTTTCTCCGAACCCTTTCTCTGACAGAGTATTCCAAGCCTCTGCCTGTGGTCCTTTCTTGTTTGTTGCTGCTGTAGTTGTTGTTGGTCTTCTCACTACTGATTTGTCGCACGACTTGAATTCTTGATTATGCCGCCAGCTCCAGCTGGGCATGAATTTTGCCAGTATGTGCATTAAAAAACAGATTTTCCAAATAGAAAAAAATGGAGGGAAAAACAACAAAAAATCGTGAAGGGTCATTAATTATGCGTAAATGAGCTTAATGCATCAATTAATCAAATCAAAGGCGGCACCGGCCAATAGGCAAATGCATTTGCCCAGCTGCAATCGGGGATCCCCAGTACCCAGTCCCAGGAGCCGAGCCGTGACTCAGGTCCCGCTTCTCATCCTTCGCCCTGCGTGCCTTTGTCGTGTCACACAAAAGCGCGAGCTCGCGCCGCGTAGTAACCAACTCTCTATTAGCTCAACGGTGGTTAAGCATCGCGTTCAGTGGTTGTAGGCGTAGGTCGTGGGTTGTGGCAGAGGGCGTGGGTGTGGTGGTAGCATTTTTAACGGTCTACTAAAACCATAGCAATGAGCAAGTATTAGGGCTACATCAGTCAGCTTTTGTCAGTGCATATCATCGAAAAGCCTTGACGAAAGCTTTGCAGTAGATGGCGCTGACTAAATGTGTCAGTCTGGCAGCACTATTTGATTTATTTTAATGGTGTGGCAGGATAGCCACACAAAATGGATGAGAGTTTTTAATTGGAAATAAGCCAAACGAAAATTAAGTACATTCGCGACAGTGTTAATATTTGAGTTCCGAAATTTTTTTATAAATTAACTTAAGCGCTTTTAAAACTAATATGAAAATGATTTTTAATTGCAGCTGTATAACATCCTTTTACAGTGAACATTAACTATAGTTTGGAAATAATTTTCATTATTTAGTACAATATATTTATTTTACTACAGCGGTACATCTGCTACGTTTCAATGTGGTTGCACGGACAAGTAATGAGGAACAAAACAAGTCAAACATTTTATAAAGGTGCAAGCAGTTTATGACATACACTGCTTTTCATGACACATCGTGTAACGAGCTGGCTGCTATGAAATTCGCTAGTGAGCAGAGTACTGCCAGACTGTTTAATGAAGACTGTTTATTTCAAAATAGGAATTAAAAACACTGAGCAATAGATGTTAAATATTCTCCCTCTGTGGATAGCTTATATTTTACGTAGATTGATGTATGAATAAATTAACTATTGGAACTGCGACTGAGAGTATAGTCTATAGTTTACTTAAATTAAAACAATTTTGCACTAAACCATGTAGAGGTGGTAGTGTTAGCCCTTTCCACAGTTCTAAGGATTTCTGATCACTTGACGATTAAAGCTGAAGCCAGACAGGGTATAATGCTTGCTCTTAACAATCTTCACCACTTGCTGAAAGATTCAAGGAAAATCAAGGTGTGGATTAGGAATTAATATAGAAGACGACCTACCATCACCAGCTTGATGAGAAAAACAGCGAATGTAAGGAAATTAATGCTCATGATGGCTGCTTCGGGTGGGAAATCTATTGCGGCTTCGTCCATCAGGCCACGACGCCTGCGTCTCTTCCGCTCCGGTGGCTGCCACAGAACCGCGAAATGTTGCTCTGCCGTGAAGTTGGAGAAAGTCAGCTTCGGCATCAGCTAAATACAAAATTGATATTCTTACCAATCATCCGCATTAGATTGTCACGAAGATTCTGGAGGAGTTTGATCTTCTTTTCAATGCTGAGGGCCGACTTCTTGATCCAGCTGTTCTGCATGGTTTTCAGAAACTTAAGGAAGCCGTGCATGCTGGGCATCTCGATTTCGCCACCATTTTCTCCTTCTCCGTTGTCTACCGGTGGTTCTGTAGAGTCCTCCTCCTCATGGCTCTCTGTCGAATGCGACGAGTGCCTCCGCGATGTAGTCTCCACATTGGGAGTGACCACGACCACAGTATGAACAGGTGCCTTGGTAGAGCTCCCTAAAATCTGGGAGCTGGTTAAAATATTCGGGTCATTCGGACCTTGACTGAAGCGAATGCGCTGGTACTCAATCCAAGCAGGACTGGGCGTGGTAAAGCCATCCGAATCCTGGCTTGCGGCTGTCTCCACGCACTCTCTTAAGCTGAGAGCAAACAAAAGGAAGAAACTGAATGGTAATAGTTGCATCTTCTTGATTGGAACGTTGTGGAACTACTGCTGCTGGAAAGTGTGGCACGAGTCACAAAGTGCTGTGCTACGAAAAGAGTGTCAACCGTTGCAAGCCAGCGCTTTTGAGATGGCTTTCGCAGATGAAGATGAACTATTAAATACCCTCTGGTTAGATCAAGATAATTCGAGACCACATCACGAATTCGGATCCCCTAGTTCTTGTAGTCTTCGAGTTACCTTGGTATAGTACCATACAATTGCTGGGAATCACAGCCATGATGAGGATGACGAAAATGCACAGATGCATTCACGACACTCAAATGTCAAGTTTGTTGTTTATTCATCAGTAGTTTGTTTTCGCTCTTGTGGCAATTGGTACTGCATAAGATCTGAGCTTGTGGTTTTTTTGTTTTATTGATGAATACACGTATGTATTTTGCATGTATATTTGATGTACGTAAGTGTTATTCATAAGAGTTGCCATTAGGTGGTTAACAAATTAAAGCTATCGACTAATTTTGATTCTAGAGAAAAATTTAGCACACAGAGTTTTCTTGTTTAGCATTTATCAAAGTTATCGTTATCGTTATCGTTACGGAGAGAAGCAGCAGCGAGAGGGAAAACTTACAAGTCTAGGAGTAACATCGAGAGTGCGGGACGAATAAATGTACACTCAAAGAAAGTACACCCATGGTCTACCCAATTTTAAAAGCTGTACTTAAATTGGATTCAGAAATATAGTTCAGATTAGAAAGCTTTAGAAAATGTAGGGTACTAGGTTATAGTTTTCTTCAAGTGGACGTTAAAACAGCTGAATGGAACAGCTGCTTGGCTCTGCTCTGGGACTATTTGATGTGGCGACAGAGATGGAAACGGACCCACTTTAGCGCTTTGCCGCTGATGGCCTCCACCTTGGGGGAATTCTCGGACAGACGATGGCAGTCGGCGCAGTTGCCTGCGGATGGATAACTCTCGGTGGTGCTGTTGGTCAAGATGGGAGTGGGCGTGGTTGTAGGTGTGGGGGTGGTGCCCACTGATCCACTCAGGTCATTGTCGAAGGTCACAGGTCACATGTCACCCGCACAATCCCAGCGTATGTCGTCCGCCTCGTGTGTGAGATAGCGTCCGCCGCCCACCTGGGTCTCCAGGGTGCGCAGGTCTCGGTAGGTTTGCTTGTCCTGCAGCCAGTAGTGCAACAGGCTCTTGTCCACTGTGTAGCGCTTTCGCTGCTTCACCTGCAGCAGGTTGTTGATCAGATCAATGGCTACGGAATGAGAGATGAAATGGTTAGTCAGAAGGGCAGAAGGAACTCCCCAGGGCACCGGCTCACCATTGGAGGAGATCTCTTTCCACGGATTGGGGGGATACATGAAGGCGGCATTCTGTATTTGATCGTTGATGTCCTCCTCCTCGTTGAACGGAAATGTGCCGCTCAGGCTCACATAGATGATCACGCCCACGCTCCACATGTCCAGCGACCGATTGTAGCCCTTGTTCCGGAGCACTTCGGGTGCGAGATAGGCGGGCGTGCCCACCACCGAGCGGCGGAAGGACTTCTCGCCAATGATGCGGGCATAGCCAAAGTCGCACAGCTTCACCTGCGGAAATTCTGCGTCCGAGGAGAGCAGCACATTCTCCGGCTTCAGGTCGCAGTGGACGATGTTCTGCGAGTGCAGGTACTTGAGGGCAATCAGGATCTGGGTGATGAGAAACTTGGTGACGCGCTCGCTTAGCCGGCCCCTCGCGTGCGACAGGATCATCTCGAGCATGTCGCCCTTCAGCTTCTCCATCACGACGAAGATGCGCTCGGGGGTCTCGAACATCCGCTCCAGGTTGACGACGCCGCAGTGGCAGATGTTCTGGAGGATGGCCACCTCGTTCTTCAGTTGGGCCTCCTGCTTGGTGGGGAAGCGCAGCTTGTCGATCACCTTGATGGCCACCTCACGCTTTGTCTTCTTGTGCACGCCGCCGTAGACGACGCCAAACTGTCCGGAGCCGAGCACCTCATCGGGAAATATCTGATAGAGCTGGCCCATGTCCTGGACCTGTTCCTCCGATTCACAGCATTCTGTGGTAGATGGAAGATTGGTTAGTTCCTAGCACTCAGAATATAGTATGGGTATAAATATGAGCCACTCACGTGTGTTGTTCACATGCATGAAGGCCTGCCGGATGCTTGTCTCCCAGCTCTTGGCGATATCGCTGCCGATGCCGCTGTCCGGGGGCGGTAGGCGCACCGCCTGCTCCTCCTTGGCGCCCACGAGGGGATCCTGGCCGACGTAGTAGCTGAGGCTGGGCATGCACAGCTCGAAGCAGTAGTTGGAGTCGGGACGCGGATCGCGGTGCGCCTCGATGGAGAGGAGCTCCGCCAGCGGCAGCTCCTTGTGGTACTTGCTGCCCTGCTCCGAGACGAACAGCGTGACGGTCTTGGAGTCTAGGCGCCAGTAGTGGCGCTTGACGGCCTTGTCCAGGGAGGTGAAGTGGACCAGCCACCCCTCCTTCAGGGCCTGGCCGCCGCGCTTCTTCGTGTGCTTCACGGACTGCACGATGCGCATCAGCGGGATGTTGGCGCTGGGCGAGGAGGAGGACGAGGACTGAGACTGCTCCGACTGGCCGTCGCTGGACTTTGTCTCCCCGCCCACGCTGCCGCTGCCACTGCCATCGTCGCCCATCCCTCCGTTGACCAGCTCCGGGGGGGAGTTGTGGGCGTTGGTAAGCGCCTTGGGCGGCTCCCTGGGTCTCCCTGCAACCAGATTTACACCGCCTCCCATCGCCACCTTGCCGTACTTTCCGTAGTCCGGCTGCGGACTGGGTGAGTCCTCGAAATCGCTGTCATCGAACTCCTCGCGGAAGAAGTTGTCCCGCTCCTTGCGCGGCGTCCCGTCCCCGATCTCCGCCTGCATCTGCAGCTGGCTGAGCTGCGCCTCTCCCGTGCAGTCCAGCGGCACCTTGTCCATGCACTTCTTGTGCGTATTGTACTGGCAGTCGCGGCACTGCAGCCCCTGCTTGAAGAGCCCCTTCAGCAGCTTCTTGCACAGCTGGCACACCGTCGGGATCCCGTATGTGTGGACCTGGAACGTGTGCGGGATGCGGAGCGCAGTCAGGCCGTTTCGGCTGCCCGACGAGTGGGTGCGCTGGTGTCGTCCGGGTATGTTCTGCGGGTGGAGGGGAGAGACGGGGAGAGACTTAATTAGCGAATTGGGTTCCTCTGGAGAAGCGTCTTCAGTCGGCGTACCGCACGGGATCGTGTACAGTCCACTCTAACTAATGGACGTAATTGACTAAAACTTATAGTAAAAAATATGACAAGACTGCCTTAAAGTGTCATCGGAGACGGAGTGTTATGAATGCCAAGTATCCCTCGGGTAATACTGTGCGGAAGTTCATACGAATATGAAATTATTGCCTTGAGTATTCTTCGTTTGAATTATACAAATAGAACAAATTTTTGTGGAGTATTAGGGCCTACACCATGGGGGAATGTATATCCTTTTAGGGGACACAGAGATCATACATATCCTAGGCAACTTTCCTGTAGGCTTTCACAGAGACTAAGGGGGTACTCCACGAACCCTAAAGAGTTTTCCCCAGGACCTTTAACTCTCTGCTTCGGACACCCCCCCTACGAGTATTTAAAAGAGTTAATGAGCCATTAAATGTAAGCAAAATGAAAATTTATTCAAAAATGAAGAGAATACAAAAAATAAAAGGGTAAGTACAATTTTAAATACTCGTAGGGATGCCCCAAACTGTCAACCGCCACCAATACGCACTATTCATTCGCAACACTCACTGGCATTCACACAGATACTCGGCACACACACACACACACATGTGCGTATGTATGCACACTGGGAGGACGAGGGTTAGGACGAGGATAGCTGACGTGCTTTCCCCACACGTCTACACGTCTGTCCACGAACGTGTCAATTCTTAATAATGTCATTCATAAGGTCCGACATGCGCTTTACCAGAGAACTGCTGGAGTCATTCCGGCCCGTTGACTCCTCGGCGGAGGAGAGGAGCGACTGCTGTGAGCTGCCGGACGGGCTGCGTGGCGTCTGCAGGGTGAAGGAGCGTCTCGATGTGGCGTCATTCGAGCGGTTACAGTTGTTCGGTATTTTCACCACACATCGCTTGTGATAGTTCTGACCGCAGCCTGTGGGAGGGAGCGAGAAGAAGGATATTGAACTGGCGGATTAGTCCGGCCAAAGGAAAACAGTTGTCATAAATGGGCCACATACCATCACACTTGAGGCCCTGACGCACCAGGCCGAACAGCATTTCACCGCAGAAATCACAGAATGTCGGCCCCTTGTAGGAATGCACATTGAGGCTGTGCGGCTTCAGAGTTGGCATCTCGGACGTCGGATACAGGATGGCTGTGGGTGGCAGATAAACGTGGCGGTCAGTCAAAGCCCAGATTGAGGCTCGGCTAGGGTCTTACGGCTGGCTGTCAATACAATTTCCACCAGGGTCTCGTCCACCACTTCCGCTGCCGAATTGATAATGTGCAGCACATTGGGTGTGCTGTAGTCGTGCACGAACAGCAGAATCCGCTCCGACAGATACGTGAGTCCGCTATCCGGTATCTGAAATGTGCCACAAGAGTGTTGGAGTTTTACTGGCCATGTCCATGTCCATTTGCGGTGTTTTGCTTCATTTAACGCTCATTTTTGCATACGGGAGTGCGGGTCTCCCCCCATTATCATATCATATTCGTATTCGTATTCGTATCTTAATTGATTGCCTGATAAGATTCAGCGGGCCATATGCACAAAATATCATATCGATTTCAATTGATAGCCAACAACAAAAGATAAATAAAATATGCGAAAGCTAACTGCAGTGGAACGTCGCTTGGAAAACTCTCTTGAAGCTTCTTTTCTTCAATTTTCCTGTCCATTTTATACTAGTCGATACATATATTGATCCAGTGGATCCTCCTGTAAATAAACCTTATCGGACACAAAATACGAGTATATCCATACGCATTTCCATTTGGGGGGAGGGACCCTTGGCTATGATAGAAGTGGCGCGTGGCTCGTGGCGCCCACATGGTCACGAGAGGAGGTGGAGCATGTTCCAAGTCAGGAGCAGCTGTCGTTGCCAGTGCCTCGTTATTGGTCACCGGTTGCGGCTTGGTTAATTGAATTGGCCATGGATAGCTGCCCTTCCTCCCCACCACCCCATCTCCCTCACGAGAAAGTAAGCGAGTCATGTCTATGTTACTTGGACTTAATGAAATAAAGCAATTATTCTGCACACATAGACATTTATTAATCTTCCCCTCTCTATCCGCATGGCTCTGGCGAGGGATTCGGACTCTTAATCGGACTCGGAGGAGCTCCGGAATGGACTTTGTGTTGACTTGACCGCGTTCCACCTCGGCGCAGATGGCAAATAAAAATATTTACTTATTGACATGACCAGCTCCCAGCTCTGGATCATGCATAATAAACGAAAGCAGATGGTGACCCCGACACCCTTTGGGGTGGTCCCTAGTGGTCCCTAGTTCTTCCAAGACTGCTTCCATCCATGCAGACTTCCATGTCCCACATCTTACCTTTGTGTTGATGAAATCACAGGCCATATCCTTGAGTGATTTGAGCGTGAGGGCGGTTACGGGCACGCTAACTGCATCGCGAATGCTGCCAAATTGGAACAGAAATGTCACCTCGGGCCCCTCCATGATGACGGGGACGCTGCCAACGCCAACGCCAGCGCCACTGCCAACGCCAAGGCTGGCGCCGCTGCTGCCGTTGGAGGTGCTGTGGTGTCGTTGGGCCACGGTGGCTGTGCTTGCGGAATGGGTGGCTCAATAAAGGATTCTCCCTTCTCCTGCACTGATTCCTCGACCTTCCGCGACCTCCTTTTGCGCTCTGCTTGAGGTGCTTCCTGTTGTTGCAAATGCCAAGGACGCAATAACTTTTGTAATAGTTGCCACCGCTATCCTGATTAGTCTTTCTCTGGCGTTGCACTCCTCGTGTTTGCTTCTGGACGATTCCGATGGCTGGCTTTTGTTTGTTTTCCTTTGGCTCTGCTCTGGCGGGCTGCGGTTTCAGGGGTATTTCAGTCGGTCCCGGCTCTCCGTATAGATCCAGCTATCGGGCAGAATTCCCACGACAGTCATAAGAGCAAACTGAAAGGATATTATCGAATAAGCTTTTAAGTTTGACGAAAAATGCACTTTACCTAAGTAAGGGCGTAATTACTGAAATTGGAATGCAATTGGTAACTGTATCCGAAGGGAAAGCCAAAGGGCTGGTCTGGACTGTGGACTGCTTCGGGTCGTGGTGGTGGGATGGAGTGCCGCAAACTGAATCATTTTCCTGCCTTTGAAAGAGTCATTTGAAACTTTCAATTGCATGCAACTTTATTGCAACTTTTCAGACAGAGGACAGAGTGCAGAGGGCAGAGTGCAGTGGGCGGAATGAATAAATGGCTGATAATTAAATATACAATATGTCATTTAAGAACTTTTCCTGGACTTTACTGTTTAATAACAAAGATAGCTAAACTCCCAGAAGGATATTTTGGGAAAGAGTAAATGGAAACCTTGTGATTTGTAAAATGCTCACGGAAACTGGAGAAACGAATATCTTTTATAGCGTTAAAGCATACTGTAAGATATAATATCTCATCAAAATATCCAATTGATCCAAGAAAAGACATATATCATCTTTACAACATTTTCTTAGACTGTAAAATGACCTGAGGAGTCATTGAAGCGAATTTTAAAGAAAAATACAAACAAAAAAACAATTCTAAAACAAAAACAAGAAAAAACTATTATTCATCACAATGATGTGATCGCACACTTTCAGAGTCGACTGTCTGTTGCTTTTTTGAGGAGAGTTAGTAAGTTAGGTCATGGAGCACGGATCATGGAGAATGGAGCGTGGAGCGTGTATCGCTGAGACAATGGGTCGATAAATAAAGCGGCAATCGATTCAGCAAGCCGATTCCATTACGTAGACCTCAATTGGGCATATTAATAGACATTATTATACCTATTTATATAAAAAAACAGGTTGTTAATGGCGATGAGAAAAGTCGTACTCGTACGAGATTATACAGATACGCGATCGGGGCTGGGAAAATGTCAGGATGATTTGAGTTCTTTCCAATTATTTTCAAGTGGCCTCTGTGACCCATTTACAGAGAGGGGAGTGTTTGTGTGTGTGTGTGTGTGTGTGTGAGGCATTAAAAAATAATTTATAAATCACGATGGAAAATATGTGCCTGGCCATGAAAGGAATGCCAGATGTAAGCGAAAGGGAGGCGGCAACAGAAGCGGAAGAACAACAAAACGAAAGCCGAGAAAGAGACTCCAGAGAGCGGCCGCCAAGCAACTTTCTAAATCTGTTTTCTGATATTTTGTTGTCTCTTGACATACCCTTGGAGAGGGTATTATACATTTGTTAAGATGCTTGAGACAAAAGACTTGGACGATTCTATTCGTTTATAATTAAAATTGTTCTAGGCATATTATTACTAAGGAATGCAAGATAAGTCATAGAATTTTCCTAGAAATGTATAGATACTAGAAATTTTCTAAGTTCAAGCAAGTTCTTCATCGATTTTCATTCTAGAAATTAGGTCAATAATCGCAGTACTGTATCGCTAGAGGTATCTGGTGATTCGGTACTCGAATTTATCGCTTGCTTTTTTTTTCTTTTGTTATTTCTTGTAAGTAAGTAGGTGTATCAGTCAAAAGTTGCCTCGCAGCTGGTAGCGGAGTGCGTTTTGAATTTCAATGGAAGCGCGGGGAGGGGGAGGAGGCCGAGTGGAGTGGAGGCTGGATGGCATCTGGAAGCGGAGGCCGCTTAAGACCTCAAGTGTCGGGCACAAAAAAAACCGAGAAATAACAAAATTGGAGCAGAAAATGACGCAGCGCAGAGGCCTAAAGTCAAGGCTAACACAGACACTGAGAGGCAGACACACACACACACACATAGACGAAAACTGAGGCACTAAAGATATTCAGCCAAATTGGCATTAAGTCTGCTTGGTATCCATGAGATACAGATACATTTGACATTTACATAACAACAAGCAACAAGCGGCCTGCGAACGGAGAGCTTCCACTCTCCACTCTCCGCTCTCCGCAATTTGTTGTTAATAATTTATTAAGCAAATACCCGCGCACACACTGGGGTAAGTGTTTTCACTGTCTTGCATCCGATGGATGCCACTTGGCCATGCTGACGCCGACTAAGCCGTGCTTCTTAGATGCTTCTTCACCTTATGCTGCTTCTTGGTAATTGCTTCTTGCCTCTGTTTTTACTGTTACTGGTGTGCTTCTATTCCATTCTATGCGCTGCAATCGGATGTCACTGCCATCGTCGCCGCGGCACGTTCTGAGTTTGTTAAGCCAAAAGAGCAACTGACTTGACTTGGCCAACTGACTGCCAAAGCCGTTGACGATGCCCCTGCCGACCAGGCCCGGACCAGGGACCAGGGACCGGGCAGGGCCAGACCAGGGCAGCGAAAAAGCAAACTCAAAACCCGTTTTACTACACGCACACATAGAATAATGTATAGTGAGCGTGAGAGTGAGAGAGCGGCAGAGAGAGCGTCCCAGACGAGTGTGTGTGTGTCATGAACCAAAGCACTCGACCCGGCATGGTCTCGCCTCTCTTCCTCTCTCCCTCCACCCACCTCACCATCTGCTTTCTCCTCTCTGTAGTGCTATCCCCTTTATCGTTTGTTTGTTTCCTTTGTTTGTTTGTTGTAACGGCCGCACTCTCACATCTCTACCTCTACCTCCCCCTCTCCCACTCCCTTTGGGCTTTCTCTCTATCGCCTCCCACCCCCCTCAGCTATTGGCATTTATGCACTCTTTCCACCGCCTTGAGCCAGCCCTGCCCCGCACCGTCGCGCCCACTTAGCGCCCATTTTCTTATTTCTCTGTCATTGTCAAGGCTGTGCGAGAAACTACCTGTGGGGGCCACGGCTTCGGCTACGGCTCTGGCTCTGGCTCCGGCTCTGGCCCTGGCCCTGGCCCTGCCTCTGCCCGTGGCTCTTTGTGCTCGCGTTGATAAGCGATTTTCACCGTCGGTCGGCCCCACAGCCAAGGCCCAAGGACCAAGGGTATGTCCTTTCCTAGAGATTGCCAACAATTGTTATATTTGTGGATGTTCTATACGAATGTGCACCATGTTTTGATTGTTTTAATTACATATGTATGCCCTAGTATTTGCACATGTATTTGAGAGTAACTATGTATATAGAAATGTATGTATATAATGATTTCTTCATTCGGAATCGTAGGTCTTCTGTTACATATTGACTTCACTGAAGGTTTGAACTATAGAGGACTTTCTAAGTCTTCAAATATGAACACACTATAACAATTAAAACTGGTAACAAATATTTGAGAGCCTTAAGAGGAGGCCAACACTTAAGAGGCATTTCCCATATTCTATAACCTATAGTCCCATATAGTGCTATAATCCAATAGTATCAGTATCAAGAGTATCATCTGATCACTGTCATTTTCTGATCACTTAAGTATAGTGGCCCTTACGTTCTTAGGGAGCTGTGTATTCTCCTAATTATACAAAAACTATGTATTTCCCAATTTAATATTAATTATTTTAAAATTGTATTTCAAAACAAGGAATATAATTATTCCATTACGAAATATTCAAACTATTGCCGAATTTATTTACAAGTCTTTCAGAATTGAGTAAATCAACAAACATTTCAGTTTTTTTTTTTAAATTATATGAAAATGTTCTTGAAATATTTTTAGACCATACATTTTGCCGTTAATAATTTTGAACATACTCAAATAAGTGAATAGAAATGTTCTTGGTATTTTGCAAATGATTGTTTCTATTTTTATTGGCAGAATTTGTCTTGGCCCAGCATGAAATATTTTGATTTCAGTAGTAAAATAAAACAGAATATGGAAATGGTTTTCTGAGGTTTCGTAAGTGTTCTTTATGTGCACAAGCCATTGAATATGGTAATCTCTACCATTTCAGTACTCACGCTACCATCTCTATTCGGGTTGAAAGTTCAATCTTTGGGCAACCTTTGTTCCTGGTAATGCCAAAGGACGGCTGCCAAATAAAAAGTTCGTGGAAAGCTTGTTGTTTCTTTCTATTTGTTTGCTTTTTTTTCGACTCTCCGTTATCTGTTTTTTTTTAGAGGTTGCGGTGCTTCGAGTGGTGGCTCACCCGTGCTCACATGTTTATTTGTTGGAACATTATTAGAATTCTCGGATCAGAGACAAAATGCAAATAGCCGAAGACGACGCAAAAGTCGCGCGCTGTGCCCTGATAAGGGGCCGCCTGAAAATGGCATCATCATCATCATCATCATCATCATCATCACCATCGATAGATAATTAGTAAGGTGATAATAATTTGAGGGCGCTGAGGGCGATAGCGCAGTGCGATGATGATGCCGGGCTGATGCGAAGCTGATGCTGCCACCACGAGCGAGTCCAAACTCCAACAATGTGGGTGGAGTCCAAAGGGGGGCCCACTAGTCATGAATACAACGCTCCCGGCTAGAAAGGGGATGGGCAACGTTTAACTATAGCAGGTCCCGAGCTCATGTCAAGTGTGCGACAGGCTGACGCACTGGCCATAAATACCAAGGCCAAGGAACAACTTGAACGTGTTTTTGTTTGCCTTCCTGGCTAAAGGATAGCTCAAAGAGGGCGGCATTCGAACCGCTAGGGGTCTGGGGTCCGCGTCCGGGTAAGGGTCCGGGTCCGGGGTTGGTCTGGCTTGAAGGAGAGAATAAATATTAACAAGCACGGGGGCAGGCAAACATTTGCATTGGAGCGGGCCGGAAAAGATCCCACTTACGAGTGGGGCCACAAAAACAACAAGTGAAACGAACCCCATCATTTTGGTACCTTTGAAGGACCAAGGGTATTGTATGGTTTTTGATTGGTACCCATTTGATATAGATGAAACAGAAAATAGTTTCAAATATTGGAAGATGCCTCACTTTTCAAATATCTGCCCAAAAGAAGAGACCAAAGAGAGAGAACAGTTCATTCCACACATGCTCAAGGTGCTATATGTAACAATACTGCGACCGGAGCCCGAAGAAGGAGAAAACCAGGACAATCCAGTTATGAATGATATAATAGAGCAAACTCAGACATCGGTGGGGGGAGGGGTAGAGGCAGCACTGAATTTGTAATGTACATATGTTCGACGGAAATATCATTATGCTGCTGCACGAGTTTTCCCGATTATTTTTGCACTCATTTAAGATGCAACACTTTCGGTGTACATGTTGAATATGTATATATGTATATATAGATGTGTTGAAAATTTCATGCAATTAATTCAAATAATAAATATGCACACACGTACACACACAACGAAACGTTCACGGGCACGGAGACGGAGACGTAGACGGAGACGTAGACGGAGAGGGAGAGAAAGGAGCTAGGTACCAACACACCTTCAACTGTGCCACATTACGGCTGGCGCTTTTCTTTAGAATTTTCAATATTTGCTTCTGTGTGAGTGTGTAGTAATTTTTCTTTTACGAGCACGAGTCCGAGCAAGGGGATGAGGATGAGAGTATGTGCTACGGCTAGTGCCAGGTTGCCCGCTGTGGCAGCATCGTCGTCTGCGTCCACGTTGTGTCGCTGTTGTCGCTTCGGTTAACGGTAGAATTTCGCACGTTTTCACTTTGCCTCGGCCGCCGCGCAACTGAAACACAAACTGCGAAAAAGCATTGGCAGAGGCAGCAGCAACAGCAATCGCAAAGCCAGAGGCAGGCAGCAGAGCAGCAGAGCAGCGGAGCACAGCCGAGCACAGCAGAGCAAAGGAAAAGCATCCGAAAAGTAAAATCCAAATAATATGCAAAGCTCAGCTTTGCTACCGCTCCCAAATGAGAAACGGGCTTCCGGCTGGTCGTTCTCCCACGCAGAGCAGCTCTCCCAGATGAGAGCGGAAGGGAGAGCATTGCCATACGACTTCTACACGCTCTTGACGCGTTTCCCTAATCTGTTTTTATTTTAATACGGATTCTGTTCATCTGTTTATTTACTCGTTCTCTTCTCCGAGTTTCGCTTCCCTTCCTTTTTTGTTGCTATCGTCTCCCACTTGGCGTTGTTTACATCAGAGCCGCCAAAGCTTTCGCACAGGTGTTTAAAGCTTTGAAGTTGTAACCAAGAGAGAGGCGTATGATTTCTGTTGAGAGAGAGTGGGAACAGCAAAGAAGAAGAACACAAAATGCTTTAACAGGGTTGTCAGGTGATCTAATATGAGCTTTCCTATTGGAAATCCCACGATTTGGTTTAAAAAATAAACATAATTAAAGATAGATATTTTCGCGAATACTTCAAGGGAAGTATTATAAGTTTTCCATTTTATTAACATATTAATACTAACTTGCTTAAGCAACAAAAGATACCCTCGATGGACCGCGGTTTATCAAGAATTTACGTGCAAAAAATATTTGGCGGTTAGAAATAATCAGATTTTTAATTTTTGCCACATATGTATGCTTTTCATTAAATATCTGGCGACGACGAAGACCCAAACTTTTTTATACCACAGAGATATATGGATATATACATATATTCTCGTATATATGGAAATGATTTATATATATTTTCGTGCCATAATTGCACGTCAAATTTTAAACCGCTTTGTCTGTCGCGTGCTTTCAATTATGAAATATATTATGTACTATACAGTCGCGATCATTTCACTTTTCAGTATAATCGCCTGTAAAATGTTTAGAAATGAATCAATTCTTGTGATTTTTGATTTTTATACCTCAAAGAGAGTATAGTGTTATATTAGGTTTTTTATTTCTCTATTATCTGCCATGGCTAATTCCAGTGGTCTTACGTTCGATTTGTCCACCAGTATCCGTGTGAAAGCTCCCGCACTTCTTTTAACAGCAAGAGCCACAACAATACATCATATCGAAAGGTTTACTAGTTTCTACTACCGACTATATAAATTCCATTGTCCTCTTGAAAGTCAAGGTAAGATGCATAGTCAAAAAAATCTGCGAAATGGTTTGTTATGTCCAGACCCAGGGCATTTGTATTTAGTTGAGATAATTTCAATGGACCTACTTATGGACTTAATGAATTCGAGATTAATCAGCCCTCGTTGATAAGAAGCGTGGAACACCATTTTCCAAGGGGCAGTAAATTGGTTTGTAATAAACTTTCCTGAGGATGCTATGGATCGTCAATATTGAGAATTGCTCATTCCATTTCGATTTGCCAAGCCCATTGGCAGGTTTTCGGTAGAGATCAGTTCACGAATGATCTTCAGCACTATATACATATGTATTTTAATCTCAGAGAGGTACAGATTGTTCAAGAGTCTTGAAGCGAGAACAGTTTAAAAATGTAAGTCTTAAAGGGAATTTCGTTATGCATGGATGAAAAACAAATTAAAACTGAACTAAACGAAAAGTAAAGTAAACATAAAAATAATTTAGGCAAGCGTTTTCAAGATACTACACACGACAATTAATTAAAACTATGGAATGAAAAGCACAAACGCTTCAGTGAGTTTTTCTTCTTGAGCTTGGAGTCTTGTCTCTGCTTCCGCTGCGGTGGCGTCAGCCTTTCCCTGGGCATCAGCAGCGTCGAGGGTGATCCCAGCCGGTGACCAGGCATCGCTCGCCCGGATGGGACTTGCACAGGCAGTTGGTGCAGAAGCGGTACTTGTAGATGACACTGGTACATTCGGCGAACGTGTAGGTTGGCTGCGAGCCCGTGATGTCTTCGAGATTCAGCGCCAGGAAGCGTGTTACGGGTAGCCTTTTGCTGTTGGAAAATGCATATTTAATCGGTGGCATCAGCAGGCTTTCATCGCTTCGCTCCCGCGCATTCTCGCTGACGAAGACGCGGCTGCTCTTGCCGCAGCGGGCACACTTGATCCGTTGCTGCTCCTTCAATACCCGGCCGGCGTCTGCCTCCATCAGTTTAAGACTGTTGTGGTCTGTACCGATGAGAGACGAGTGAATGTTGATGTTATCCAAAGCTTGTAATGGCTCTGGTTTGAACAAATTGTATCTTCTCTTGGGAGATCGGGATTCTCTAAGTTGAGGCTCGACTTAAGGCGATGATTGTGCAGACGCTCCACGGACTGCCGGCTCTTGAAGAGAGTCTGCACCCAGCTTTTCGTTACTTTGGTCATGACATCCAGCGTTTGGGCACTCATATGCTTCAGTATGCACTCCAGGGCCGGCTGGTTGTGGCTCAGCATACTGAAGATGTCGCAATGCTTCAAACCATCGAAGTAGCGTCTCCGGCTCAGTGGCTCGGCCGGTGGAAACAAAACCTTCTTCGACTTCTTCGGGCTGCTGTGCGGGGCCATAAAGTTCTTCTTACGGGGATTTGGAATGCTCTGCACTTGCTGCATGTTCGGCGTCCTATAGGGCTCGTCGCAGCTATTGATGCTGCTGCTGGCGGGGATCCGTAAGCGGGTATTTCTTGGTCCAGAGTTGATCCCTCGGACGGCAAGGCCTTTGGGGAGAGTTGTTGCATTGTTGTTCGGACAGTTCTCGGTTTTAGAGTCGCATTCCAACAAAACTGGCGCCTCCTCGTTTGAGTTGTTCCGCACTCGAGAGGACATGTAGCCGTACTCGTCCATCTCGGCTTCGGAGGGCGCCCCCAAGTTGGGGCTCTTCTTTTTCAACATTTGCCGACTGTATATTTGCTCTAATATGGTGTACTTATTCTTACGTTTTAGGCATTTGTTACTTGAGTTAGCGAAGAATTTATTTTTGTTTAAGCCTATAAATCGGAAGTATGTTCCGTCCATTTTGAAATACCATCGTTTCAGAGTTAATTTTAAAAATTACACACAATATTTTCTTGGTTTACGTATAATTAATATTTGATTTAATCAAAAAATCAGTAAAGAGAAACAAAATTAAGAGCAGACGCAAAGAGAGTCAAGAGATTGAGCTTTGGGACTGTGGCTCCGCTCCCAATGCTCTTTAAAGAAAGCTTTTCATACACTGTAACAAATTACGCCTGAGTTGAAACCATCTGATGTTCATCATCCTGGGGGAGCGGTGCTTTGGAGCGTGCCATGCAGCGAAATTGAAGCGCGTAAAATGCATATTACGCTAACACGTCACGGCGGAAAGGTAACCGGAAACGCAAAGCTTTTGCCAGATGGAGAAATGGGCAACAACGTAATCGCTTTTCCACTCCAGGAGCTTTTCATTTCAGCAGCTAGAGAGCTAGAGCCAGGAGGATGAAACAGGGAACAGGGAACAGAAAATGGGAAAAGGAAAAGGGAAAAAGAACTGGGGCAGTCCCAACGAAGCAACTTCCAAAAGGGAAGTATAAAATTGCTCTAGCAACACATGGCGCTTACCCGTACTGGGTGGGGGGTGGCTCCGGATGCCACCTAGAGGGTGGGAGGGTCTATGGGGCTGCCAACTGACAACAAAAGCGCCGCACGTAATATAATAAAGAGATTTTCCATAGCATACAAAGCGGGGCTGCGTCGAGACAGTTGCATGTGTCCTGGTTATGTCCTGGCCCACGTCCTACTGGTTGCCATTGCCATGCTCTGGTCCTGGCCACGTCCTGGCCTAAGCCACGCATTGTACACTCATTATAATGGAATGGAAATCGGTTCTAGCTGAACTACAAATACTATAATTGGCCTTGCATCTCTCGGCGCACTCATATAATTGTGTATATGTACGCAGATCTGTATCTACGTGGGTTGCTCTTGTTGGGTGGTAATCAACAGTTTGTTGGCACGCGTTGCCGGCTCGCCCAGGGGGATGTTGCGCCACAGCTAGTGATTGTCCGAAGGAAAGGCATTTCTCAATTGGGGGATTCTATATGTGAAATTCTTGTCTCGGGATTTGCACACAAAATTTACAATTCCACAAGAATTCGGCAATTGAAATAATGTTTAGATTGTATTGGTGCACATATGTGTATATCATTTATGAGTTATGAGCTATGAGCTAAATACTAGCTAACATAAATTTCGACATCAAAATCGAAACAGCTATCCCATGGAACATGGTCTTTAGAGCACCAGATCCTGTGATACCCGATTGATGCACAAAATATTCGGTATCTTAGGTCCAAAGCTTCTAATTGATTAGAGTAATCAGTAATCAATGGGTCCTTTCATTACTTGGAGTACAATAAAGTGTATCCTTCCGTTGTCCTTTCTTCTCCAAAGTCCTTCTTAAACATTCGGTTCTTTCGTTTAAGCAAATTGCTTGCGACTGCCCGTTCTGGTCTGTTCGGGGCTCCTTCCACTCAACCGAAAGCATTTGAAATTGGAAATAAATCAAAGACAGCACAGCAGCGGCAACATATTTTGCCTGTTGGATTCCCCATGCCCCCACAGGCCAGCCCTCTCCCCAGGAGACAGAACATCCCAAAACTGGAACAAAGCACAAACTCAGCAAGTTTTCGCTGCTCGCACATTAAAGTTACATTTATTTGTAGAAAATAGAACCTCGTAAAGTCGGGTAGCCAGTTTCAAAAGGCTTTGGCTTTGGCTTTGGCTTCGGTGGCAGTTGCTGTTGCAATTGCAGACCCATAAAAAGTCTCTCCTAAGTGGCCAGACTCTGGGCTGCTGCCTAATGCGGCAATTGTTAAACCAAATGCAAATAGACGTTGCAGTGGCAGTCTCCGAAGACGACGGGCCGCGTGCCAGGCATAAATCACTCCAACGGCTGCTGCTCCTCCCTCTCCATTTCCATCTCCGTCTCCATCTCCGTCTCCGTGTCCATGTCCTCCGCCTGGTTCGTTTCCGTTTCCGGTGCTGTCTCTAGCCTCAGCTCTGGCTCCTGCTCCAGCTTCACCGCGTACGCCTCCCTGTCGACTGTTAGTTTGGTAACGCTCTCGAGTGTTTTTATGGTTTGCATATACAATTTCTTGGCCAGCTCCTTGTCCTGGCCAGGCTCCGAACTTGCCGCAATTTCGCAGTCACTGAGACAAAAAAAAAGAAAAGATGTAACAAAAAATGGCTAACAAAGTGCCACTAATGCGGCAAAGGCAGCAGCAACAGCAACGACAGTGGCCATGGCAACTCACTTGAAGTACTCGCCGGTGACTTGCTTCAGCTGGGGATCCGTGGCCAGGCGGATGGCGCACTGGGCGCCCTCGTACGGGTTCTTCATGAAGATCCACATCCACGGGAAGGTGACCACTCTCACACAAATGGACGACATCAGAGGCGAGCTGTGCCCAAACAGAAATCAAAAGTTAGCCAATTTAGTTTCCATTGCAATTACAAAAAAGATAGAATATGGCAGGTATTACAGAGGGAAGTCTTGCTCACACATATCTTTTTTGCTTTTGTTCCTCGAGTACCCAGTATAAAAAGGACCAACCAGACACGTGCCACAAAATATGTGTAGACAACGACAAGGAGAGGACTTGTTTATTACATGTCGGAATTTGCCAGCTCATCGGAAAAGTTGAAAAACAGCTAAAGGAAGAATAGTGTCACTCTAATTTCCTTACTCTCGTTTACCCCATAAACTTGAGGACGAAGTACATAATTCACAACAATCCCCCGTATCTTTGCTTCCCTGTGCATATGTTTTTATGAACAAAATAAGTATATTATTTTTGCAAAATTTTGGCTTGATAAATAATAGAATTATGCTTTGCTTAAAGCCCATGCCTTCAATAGATTGGATTGGAGACTGGATTCAATTAGTTACGGAATCAAAGTCATGAAATTTGAAGGCAGATTACCAAACAAAAAATCACCTCCGCATAGAGAATATCTTCCAAAAATTAAATTAAATCAAATCTTTTAAGCTAAATTTGGTAAGAATTTAAAAAGCAAAGATGCATAAAACTATTTCCATATTTCCCTTACAGTTGGAAAACCAGATAGAAGGTAGGCGGTGTAAGGTATGTATGTTCTCGTCCTTACAGCATGGTTCAATAAGCCACGGAGCTCAAAAGTCACACCACACCCATCTGGTGAAATGCTTTGTAATAAATCACAAAAAAACTCGTCAGCCGCTCATCATGTATATTTTTTGGCTTTGAACAATATCTTTATAATCTAGCACAGGACTGTACTCTCAAAGACTCTCTGAACTCTATAATTCTTTACTAAAAACATATATATTATTAATATATTATTGATAAACGCTGCCGATTTCCAGAGTCTCGCCCCGAGTGATCACCCATACTCTTCCTGTTAACATCTGGAGGCTCCGCCCAGGAACCAATTCTCCAGCAGGTAAGATATTTTTGTCTCGTGCAATGGAAAAAAAACCACTGTCGCACAGTGTAATTTATATACTTGAATGTTTTATTTGATAAAATGAAAATGATATGAATATTCCATCGAATACTTAAAGATAATAAGACCTTAAACGATTAAGGACGGTACACCCATTATAAGGGTAGCCCCATGAAACGCACTGCTTTATTCCGGTGTGAATAGTGTACGGTACATGAATTCCGATATCAATAAACAGCTGCTTAAAGGCTTTTCTTTGAGTTAAATTTTTTGGGCAACACACAAGCCTTTTGTTTATTCCCTGAAAATGTTGTAGTCGTGTCAGACCTGAGCCAATTTGTTTTCGGCATTGTTTTAATGACAATTTCAAGTGCGGCGATAACGTTCAGTCGCAGGAGCAGAATGCCGGTTCCGACTCGCATTTCAGCATTTCAGCCATTCGCAGCGTTGATCTCCAGCCTTAGCCAACTACGAACCGGGCCAATTTCAACGGCTGAGTCCAACGAGTTGTGTAAAATGGTTGGCTGCTCTCAATCCCCCATTCTCACTGCCTGTTTTCCCTGCTACCAACTGTTACTCCTGGCCGGGTGCCTGTTCCCGTTCCTGCTACTGATGCCGCCTTTTCACGAAGGATTACGAACTTGCGCGCAATTTGCTTAGCTTTCGTTGTTAATGTTTTTCCTTTGGTTGCTGCTTACTCGATTTGCTTTTGTTCTTGTTAGCGGCCAACGAACGGGAAACGGTGCAAGTTCACCGACACTTGAGCATCGTAAAACGATAAATAAATAATTAATGCGCTTAACTTTTCCATTTACGCTTTTTCCGTGACTTGAGCATTAACTGCTTTTCATTTCCATTCATTTCATAGTACACACAGATACGCCGCCGCCGTCACCCACAAAGATCCACACCTACACACGTATGGGTGTAAGTGTGTGCCTGCCACTATCTGTCGGACCCTGTGCCCCGTTCTAGTCCCGCGTCTGTCCCACCGTTCGGTCTGGCTGGGTCTCCTTGCCTTGGGTCGAGGCTGGTGTTGATTCCATTCATCGTTTTACGCCAACGTTTTCATAGATGCGAATATCTGCCTCCACACCCAACCACTGCCCCCCCATTCACTCTTCTCTGTTCCGAGCCGCACACCACCTGGCACCCAGCACCCAGCACCCACGTTGCCTGCAGTTTTAAAGTGCATAGAAAGCTGCAGGGGCTGCAGATGGTCTGTGGGCAAAAAGAGAAAAAACAAATGGTTGTGGCTGGCTTGGGGTTAGACTTGGGGCATACTCTACGCGTACATAGATCCGTTGATTAATGCGTGTTTACGTATGGAGAATAAATTGAGGTGTTCTCTACAGATTTAACACCAAAATATGGTATATGTACGGTACATATATGGTGGG